TTCCTGGACGGATGTATCTGATACCTAGATAACCAGCAATTTGAAAAACTTCGTCTTCTACATAAGAATGGAACCTGCTTTCTTGTACTGTCAGAATGGCTACATTAGAATATTCATTATTCTATATAACAGCGGTAAGGTCCACTATTTTTCAGAGACTGAATACTGCTGAATGATATCAGTGGAATTAGTGCCTTCTCAACTAAACTACGTCTAAGACTGAATTGCCGACCAGCACGGTGTTTTCTCAGTTTGTCAGGAGGTTCCCTCATGATTCGTTTTAAATATTTGGATCTGAATGGTCACATTGAACTTTGCGCTGAAGCGAGATTTCAAAATGTTGACGGAATAAGACAACATCAATCTCAAGAACTAGTCTAGATGATCAAAGTGCTGGAAGTCTTGTGTGAATTGAATAAATCCGCAGTAGATAGATTTAAAATGATTTGGGAAGTCCTGATACCAGACGACTAACGACTCTCACCTGCACGAGCAGTAATCTGCATGGCAGTTGAGGATTGGTCGGACTGTATGACAGTCAGATTTCAATCCATGACGGTCAGCGCTTGTCACCGCATGCGAGCAGAGATTGAGCCTAATTTTGGAGCGAGAGTTGAAATTTGCACCGACTGCTTGCCCATCTTAGTCTTCGTATGGGCATTAGATGGTCAGCATTCACATGCTCGAATGGAAATAAAAGATATGATAGGGTTCTGATTTTACGTTTCTCTCCTTTGACCTAACTTATGGAGTCTGCATTTAAGCTGGTTGCATAAAAAGATTGAGTAACTATGTTGAGGGTCATCTTGAAGGACATGTTGTGTGGATGGATTGCGACGTGCAGTCGCAATGTTGACCGCGATTCTCATTGAAGTGAACCTTGGTCTATCTGATGAGATGTAATAACATCGTAACGCGTCATAGTAGTGCAGTGTTTTTGGGCGGGCAACACCCAATTTCCGATTGAGTAACTAGTTTACTTGCCTTTGTCTACTTATTCGTAAGCTTCAGAACTTCGTTGAACGAGTAGCTTCCGAATCGCATACTACCTTGGCGGGGTACCACAATCCAGGAGGTGTTGAGACTACATTTTCAACTAGTTACAGCCAACTCTGTGGCGGGGTAAAATAGATGATGCGCCACATATCGGTAAAGCCGTAATCAGAACTGACTCTACCTCGACCACCCAAACTCATGTTATTTGAGGTCTAGATGATGGAATCTTGTTGCACGCGCCCGCGCCATTTGTAATATCCACACTATCTCCACTAAGCTTATCACTGAACGTTCCATTACGAGCACAAGTGTTCTCACGGTAACCAATACTAGCACTCGATTACTGGAGACATTCTTTTTTGGCATGATCGATGTATAACAGTTACTCTCAAACTCATATATCACAGCTTGATAGGAAAAATGTGCGATGTACCTGAATTTCCACTTTTTTTACCATTCCACTGTCGATTCATGTTGAATTCCCGTGACAACTGTTGACGTAACACGGAGCAGCCCTGTATGTCCACAGAGGGCATGTATAGACTAGTGGGACTGATTGCTCTAGCGCGTGGTCGACAAACGGTTCCATGCTAAACGACAACAAATGCCTTTGCGTGCTGACCTGTCAAGATTTTATGCCCTAAGACAGCGGAGAAAGATGCAGAGAACAACGATAAAACGGTGACCATTAGAGCAGGATTACAGTGTCTGTGGTATCACGAGTTGAGCAACAGCATATTTACCTACAAATTTGTGTGGCCGAATTGACGGATGGGCACAACGGTAAGAGGCGTGTCCGATTGGCGTTTCCATTACATGTACATTATATATATATATATATATATATATATGGCATTTCCAAAACAGTCATGACTGAATCAGAATAGCATTTAACGCGTGTGAATAATGAGGATAGGATTACGTTAGGTTTATTTTATCAGCCTCCATAGACAAGAGGGTCGGATATAGCTGTGGCTAATAAAGGGAAGGATATGACAGATCAGAGAGTTAGCGGGATTGAAGACTCAATTTGCTCTCCTTCTCAGCTTCCGTGATGAGATGGGACTTTCCATTTGGGTGTACACAAGTGCATGCAAAAGCGATTAGATAAGTCCAACACGGCCCAAACTTTCTGTTCCATCTCGCGCTGCTGTTGCTGAATTTTTAGGCCAAATCGTTAGTGGTGTTGTTGATTGTTTTCTTTCATATACAACCGATAGTGTTTATTGCGACGGTGTTACAGCTATTTGGTGCTTTCGGGTAGGCTTCCATCTTTTCAACATCAGGTCGTAGTTTTTTCTTTTGGTCTATGGCTACATAAGGACCCAGTTTCAAACAGTACGTCCCGACGACCCTTTCCGTGAGATTATCCTCTACACACCCGTGCACTGAAGATGCCACTGATCGAAATGGTGAAACGTCTGCCATTACATTACTCAGCTCGGAGAACCAATCAATCCGAGCTACAGGTGTTTCGAATCCTTGCAAACGATACAAGGTACTTTGATTGCAAATGGCACATATGTCAGTAACATGACTGTATCATGTCTTTTAAGCCTTGAATTTAGGCTGAAATATTGTAAACCTTGTCGCAAACCAAAGTTGACAGCAGTCCTGAGAGCTGAGCTCATATTTAGTCAAAAGCCGACACCCGAACACCACAAACGTGATGTTCTTCGACAAATCAACTCAGCAGTTTACTGTGCGAAAAAGTAGTATACGCAGGCCAACGGGAGCGCGTTATGAAACGCCCTCCAGAACAAATCATCTGGCTGCATGTAACAGGTTTCAAGCAGATCCTGATGGGAATTTACTCTCTTGCTCTCGGACTGTGCTTTCCCCTTGCTGTTCTCTGGATCATCTTATTGGTTCAAAGGCTCCGGGTGGAGTCCCTCAAGCGAATCTCCATGTACCCCCCACCATTTTGTGAGTCAGCTTGTCGAGTCAAATGCTGGGGGCAGGGTACCTCGAAGGAAACATCTATCAGAATTGGTAGTCGGGGACTATCACATACTCTTTCGGCATTGTAGTCAATGCTATTTCTACTTTCTCCCCTTTTGTAACTCTCTTCCTCCCCGTCTAGCGAACAAGAGACTGCCGCTGACCTAGCAGCCGTTACCATGGATAAATGTGATTTGTCCCTCAGACCAAGAATATCAATTTACATTGGTTCGTTTGATATCCGCAGTCTTGGTGAGATCAGGCAACAGACCACACTAACTCTCACTCCTTACTCTCTTGGCGTCGATTCATGCTATCACAGAAACGCAAACACTATAGCAACGTCATGACGTATCTTCGACTCCCTGGTTCTGAATCTGCCGACAATGACTACACTCTGGGTACTGAGTTTTAACATGTCCGTAAATCCCCGAAATGATGACTGCGAAGGGGTCTTAGAACTGACCGAGGCCATTGGTGCGTGGCAATGGCACATGGTATGTAGAAAACCAGTAGTATTGGATGTAATCTGTGCTGTTCCAATCCCTCCGGAGCACCGGCACCATTCTGTAACAACTCACTGGTCATCATGCTATCCAGACTGGTTTTCACGCTGATGAGGACTGCGTTTGCCACAGATTTACTTTTTTCAAGTGTTGGAGCTTGGACCCAATCGACTGTAGTAGTTTTCTTTGACCTAGTTGTCTCCCACTTAGCTGATCGTGCCAGCCTGTGGTGCTGGTTCTCTATATATGAGACACCATGGAAACTCCTTTTCATTTTGACCTCTCTACCATGGTTCCAGGGTCTAGGGGAAGTTGTCTGCTGTGTTCCTCATGTAAGTCACGTTCACCATGCTTGTCCGACATCTCCTTTATTCGAGTTTGTGATCAAAGTAATCACAAGCAACTCCGTTCTCTCTTCCGGAAGTGAAATTATGCCAGCTGACCGACCGGCAAACCTTGAGTATGCGGACGACAAAGCTCTCCTGCGGTCGGACGCAGTGGCTAGGCAACCACTAGTGAATAGACTGGTGCGCAACACTGCACGCTCCGGTATCTGCTGTTTCAGGGCTTCACCGGTGCGTGGCCAGTTTCAGCTACCAAAGAACAGCCACCTGAAGTGTTGTGTCGGTTCAGTTAACTTGGTATCTATGTCACCTCTGGTGATCGTATCAGCAGCGAGATTATTTCGCTTAACAGCATGGCCCGTGTTGCTTTTCAGAGGCTTAACAATTTGTGCAGACGGCATGATACCGGCCTGTCAGAGAAAGGCAAGATGCATAGCTTTGCGATGAGACCAGTGTTCCTGTGTAGATCAGAGAATTGACCGTTTTAATCACCGACGCTTGCGATGTATTGCTCGCATTTAGTGGGCACACTGGTTGAGCTATGCTGAGGTCCACCATTTGGTTATTGAAGAGTCATTTTGTAGTACTCGTGTGCTTGGATCACGACGAGCAATCTCAGCGTAGACCATGATTCTCGTTGAAGCGAGCCTTGTGGTGCCTCACACGAATGTTTTTGCTCAACCGCTTACGTTGGTTAGGTCATGTCCACCAAATGCCCGTTGACCGACTTCGTCGGCGTGCATTATGTCATCGCTACACCCAGTTTGGGAGACAGTGAGGTAGCCCATAAATGTACCATTGAGACGTGGGGAAATTGGCCTAGAGACAGGCTGGTGCGCCTCATCTTCGTAGATAGGGGCCTCGGGATGGTCCACTTCAGTGGTTGGAGACCCTGTCGGACATGGTGCTGTCACACTGTCAGTGTGATTCTCGCATTCGATTTGAATGCTACTAGGACTATTTTTCTTGTTTCTCTTTTCTCTATCCTGTTTGCTGCGTGCCTCATTCTCTCGCTGTCGTTATTTATTGTTATATTAGACTCCAGTTGTGATTACTAGATCCACTGCACTTCGTTGGCCAGGTTATAGTAGTTTATGGCAATATTGTAGAATGGCCTTTAAGTTCTAGTTACCCCATGTTGACTTATTTTTGAGCTCTGCATCTTTCAGCTGCGCAGTTCACTCATTTCAATTTTTATCTGTGTGATCTGCAGATAAACTTAACATGTCCTCTAAGGACATGCAGTCTGAATTGGAAAGGTTCGCTAACTCCTCCCGAGAGGCCTTGGGAACCAACAAACCACGTATTCCGAGTCAGCCTGCTGCGGATGGGGCTCTGCCGAATGACCCCAATGGCTTGGAAGCTCCTGCACCAACTGCACCCACAAATGGATGATCCAACGCTGCCGCGCATGCGCTATGTTCTAAGACTCATCAGTAACAATGCCCAACGAATGTTTTCCTCTACTTCACACTCACGCTCACACTTCGGAACCCTTTGCATGGTTGTTATCTTTCCCTTTTATTCACTTGACTTCATTATGTTTCCAGACAACTGCAGCCATGTATCGTTCTTTTCGTTGCCACTATTGTCGGGCACAACTTTTTTCCTTTTACTTAGAGATTGGCTACCACCACAACATTTTCCTTCATGGGGTATGTCGGTAGGATCGCGTCCTCCTTAACATGAGTCAGTTAGACACTGCGTTCGTCATGTTGTAAAGCGACTGCTTTTTCCATGATTTTCTGCACTTTCGTCCATTAGTGTAATCGCCTTGTATAACCTTTATGCAACAACATCAATAAATAACTAACTGATATATTCCTCGGCGATGCGAGGCACAGTCCAACTATGGGGTCGGATCAATGTGTACAGCAGGATCGCACAAAATAAGTAATTGTTCACGCTTTATACAATGGATTCAAAATGCATACTAAAATACTTAGCAGGTCCAAAGTATTATTGAAATTGAAAAGCCGGGAACAGTAACCAATGCAGATTTAAACAAATGTTCAGGTACATTAATACGGCCATCCGTGGAAGCGTCCTCAGGGGACCTGATTGCATGCAGGTATTCTCTCGAAAGGTTTCGCCGGCATTTCCATGCTATACCTGGCCGTGTGGCAAACTAGCGGTCGCGTCGAATCTGCCGATACAACGAACCTGCGACAGATTACAACGGTTGCGTACATCCGTTTGGTGGTTGTATCTCCAACCCACTTATTTCCCGAACGAGTAGTGTTAGGCGTCGTACTCTTCCAGCTACCGTTGTCCAACCTCATTGCGTGTTGCAACCTGTGAGAGTAACCAAAAGAACAAATATCCTCAATCCAGTTGAGCAAGTCAAGTCTAAAGCAAATTTGTTTGTTTCGGAGGAGGTGGTGGGGCCTTCGTATTCGGCAGTTGATGTTTTCATTGGAATATTGCTCAACGCTGTCAATTGCTGTTTCTTTTCGTGTTTCTGCAACTTATCGTTTGTTCAGGTGAACCGATTTCAATGTCGGCAATGTAGACTTACTCTGTTGCTCGTCTGATATTGCTCCGTGAGGTTTTCCGGAATTCACCTCTAGTCGAATACTACCACAAAAACAGCAACTGTAGCGCCCCAAAAGATAACGTATCTTTTATGTACAATTCTATTACTGATTGGCTGCACATTATTTTTTTAAAATACTTACGCTACGGCCATGTTGAGCCCGATGTAGGCCAACATGGTTGTAGTATAAGGGTGGTTAAAGCAAGAAAGAAATGTGTACAGCTGATCAGCAGTAGAATTCCATATAAAAGATAAGAGTTATCTTCCGGGGCGCTACGAAGAACTTTCAAAGAACCGTTAGTAAAAATCTGGGGAAGAAGAAAAGGCACCGTGTTGAACTCAAACGTTGTCCTGCTGACGAGATACAAATTCCACTTATTATGTCCTGTAATGTCTACCCGATTTGGAAAGTTGCTAATCTTGAGAGCCTTTCATAACGGTGAAAACTTTTGAACACAGGTTTAGTGAATTTGCAAGAAAGTTGATCAGATCCCGACATTGGAGACAGAGTCATATAACTCAATGGCTATCAATATATTACATCCGACTTCAGAAGCGCGATTGTCTACATTAGTGCAGACTAGTGTACATCGGTTTCACAGCTGTCCGCTTACTCAACGGTTTTACTAAGCTCCCTCTGTTGGAATCTAAGTCAATTTTATAGTATTCTATCTGTCGTTCACACGAGAACGGTACGTTGGGAGAATCCCGTGAGTGTTCAACCTTTGAAAATGCCTTTCATCCTACAGCAGAATGTGTAGAGCGATCTGCAAGAAAGAGCCAAATCAACACGCATGATTCGCCTAGCGTTCATTCAACGCTGCCCACGTGCCCTGCACTAGCAGTCCACGCTGTGCTGGCCACTTGAAGAGAAATTAAAGTGGAAGCAAAGAAGGAATGCAAGCTGAAACAATGAATGCGCGATTTTGTGAATGCAGATTAAACGTTAAAAAAGTACTAAACTTCAACGGATGAGTGAAAATCCAGTATGTAAAGGGGAATATTTAAAACTGCAGTCAAGTTGGTGTTCGAACTCTTTCATCGTTAGTGTCATCACCAGTTCTGCAGACAGCGCGTTCCAAGAGAATCAGTTCCAAACCGATCTGACTGGAGTTCGTGCATCTTCAGTTGATGACCGCGAAGCGTTGGTACCCGAGTGAGGTAGAACAGTTCAGTTGAATCAGGGCCGGTTTGATCTATTATTTTGCGATAGATGAGGACCAGGTCGACCCGATTTCGCCTATATATAGATATATATATATATATATATATATATATATATATATATATATATATATATATATATATATATATATATATATTGACGTGTCAATTTCCTCAGCGCTTGTCGCAAATGTCGGAGATAATAAGAACACAGACCCAAGGAATGCTTCACCTGTGTGTTGTTGCACGGTTTGATGCAGTCAAGGATAGCTCTGGTGTTCTGACTATTCGGTCTAGTATCACGAGTAGAAATCACATGGCCAATGAACTCCACTTCAGACACGGCGAATTGACACTTGCTAGTTTTCAAGCGAAGAGTGTGATCATTCAGCCTAAGCAGTACCTTGTGGAGGTTTTCCTCATGTTCTCTATTGTTGTTGCCAAACGAATATCATCCTTACAAACAATACCTCCTTTGAGGTCGGATAAGTATACTTTGCTGAATTTTTGCTAAGCGGCTGGGGCACTGCTTAGGCCCATTGGTAACACTTTGTACTGATACAACCCGTCTTGTTTGCTAAATGCCGACAGTCGGGAGTAAGTGTCATGTAGTGGTATGCACTACGAATGTCTAGTTTCGAGAATAGTCTAGCGTTGGAGAGTCTGATCATCAGCTAATCGGTAGAACGACGTCTAAATTTACCCACAATTACGTGCTTGTTAAGCGTTCGCAAATCAGTACACAAGCGTATAGATCTATCTTTCTGTTACTCTGCAACAAGAGGATGAACCCACTCAGAGCATTGTAACGGTTCTCTCAAATCGTGCTTGACCATTTGTTTCAAAGTTTTCGACAAAATCTCACGTTTGGCCAAGGGTAAGAGTTAGGTTGCGAAATATTGAATGGCCTCAAATCTGCCTTCAAACGAATGCGATACATCCGCTTTGGTACTTTGCCATTATCCAAACGGAAAGGATTTGGGTAGCTAGAATGAATTGAACTGGGACTGACATCGGCAATTGTCATTCGGTGGACGTTGGGCGACACTTAATAAAACCATGGCGTAAGCTTTCCAGTGACGATGTTGACAAGAGGGGAGACACCCGCTCTCGCCAGGCTGTCTGCTACCGTCATCTAGATATTACATGTCGCAGGTTCACTCCTTTTTGCCGTTATTTTACAGCGGCATGTATTTTAGCATGGTGTATTTTGTGAAAGCGATACTTATTCGATGCTGCAGTGCGTAAAATCTTCAGAAGTGACGTCTTTTTTTTGAAAGCTGCTTGACAACTGTGCATGCGTTACTAAATAGTCACTCTGGGTAATCATAACTCCTCCCACGTCCAATCACTAGTGGTGTCCTCCAAGGGAGTCTGTTTGGTCCTTCGCTTTTTCTACTTTCTATTAACGATTTCACGGTGTTCATACAACATGACAGGCCATTTTTGTTCGCCGGTGGGATAAAGATTGTTTATAAATTTCGACTAGACGAACTAAATAGCGCAATGCTGTTCGTTCAGGAAGACTTCGATTCACTTGAGAAATGGTGTGACACATGGATGCTAAATTTCTCAGCTAGTAAATCATGCATTATGTCACACAGCTGTTTAATCCCTGAAGAGTCTGTTAAACTGAACAATGAACGCATCTGTGTGAAACTATCCAACTGTGATCTAGGCATACGATACTCTTTAAACATTAATTTCTCGGAGCAAGCTGAGTATCAAATAGCACGTGCCAAACGATCTGTGGCTAACCTATGCCATAAAATCTATACGACCCCTGCCAGACTCGAGCTTTTCAAAATACACTTCCTGTCCTTGAATACTGCAGCATCCACTATAGGACCATGCAAATGGGTGACAGGAAAGGTGTAGAAAAACTGCAAAGATCATTCACTAAGCAGTTGTTCAGTAAATCAAAAACGAGTTATCAGGAGCGTTGCCAGCAGCTGAAGCTCAAACCCCCTTGGTTGACCTGACTGAAACATAACTTGATGCTGATACACCATCTCATAAACCAAAAGATATACACCAATCTGTGTACAATTAATATTCAACATGACATCACTTGGGATATACACAACAAGAATTGTACAGTGTGTGCCGAGAACCAGGACAGCTATCCGCCCAAACTTCTTCCTCGTCAAATACGCTGTCGTATGGAATAGCCTACCAGCCACAATCAGGTCTTGCACAAATGCAAGAGCATTCAACATTCAGCTTGGCTAATTAATTAGCCAACCCTCGATAATGACCATGCTTCCATCGGGTAAATCACCCCACAAGTTCATTCAGGATTGACCAAAGAATATTGATCCATGATTAAAGGAGGTACAAAGAACTCAGCAACAATAAAAGTTACGTGATTCCCAAATATTTTGATATCAAAACCCCATATAATGTATTTCACTCATGCATGAGCATGATAATTATTATGCGCATGATCTGTCCACCATCCAGGGACAGCTTCTCGTTCAATCTGGAAATATACTTATCCTTAATATGCCTCGGATGCTAACTAGTTGGAAACGCTGTGAGATAACCTCCTCATGCGGCGTTATTCCGAATAAATCGGCAGGTTTGCTGACCACGTAGTTAACATCCTCGTTCCCACCAAGCAGGTAACTTTTGGGGTGTTATAATTGTGGGAACACCTCCGATATGATTGTGTGAACGATTCCCGATAAGATTGTCACTGGCACGGTCGGGAGCACGCCTACGGTAATGGCTTGGAACGCTGGCCAATCGAACGCGATTGCGCTGACCTGACGGCGTAGCTTAGCTTGGGGTACGCGCTGGTGAGACGGAAATGAGCGAGCGTGAGAACGATCCCAGCTGCACGTAATCGGGTAGACGCTGGGCCTTTGGAACGGACGCACACCAGAGGGGTTACGGTAGACGCGCACTAGTGATTTAGATGCGAACGCTGGCCGGCTAACCGGGCACACAAAATCACGTGACCCGACCGACTCCCAAGTGGGGCGAAGAGGGAAGAAAGACAGGCGGTCCTCTGAAGGCTCTTTTACGACCAACAAAGGGCGAATCACGGGCAATGCTATGGGTCATTAAGCTAAGGAAGATTGCTACTACGAAGAGGTGGTAGTTTGCAAAAGACCATTGTC